GCTCAGTCTGGTTGTTTGTAACATTACAGATATTGACAGTGCAACAGGTACCAGAGCTCAGCAAGGACATTTAAAAAAAAAATGCTAATTTAACGTTTGTTAAGTATCTGTTAAAAAACAAAGCAGTATTTGCTAAACTGATGGCAAATTACTTTCAGATAGAACCACCACTGGCGGCTAACCACCAAGATTATCCACTGAGTCTAACTATAGCCAGTTAATGCAAGTAACTTCTTCCGCTATCTCACCAGAAGTTTTACTTGTACTTCTACAGTAGTGCCCTCAGGAATACAGTGGATAAGTAGTGATGTTTTTTTAGTATTACTCCTTGAGAAATGTCATCAGTACAGGGCTCATTATATAACCTTAAAGTTACATCTGAAGAGGATTATAACAAATTAAGTCAATAACATTTGCAGAGCACTGTACAGACAGTACAGTCTTCTGGTTTAAGGTATGCCTTTACGTATGACACAGCAGCTGTAAAAAAAAAAACCCAACAAGAACAAACAAAAAAAAAAACAAAACCCTGTGACCTCTTTTACCTCTACATTTGCAGGCCTTAACTGCTGCTGCTGTTACCCCCCAATAAATTAAGGCATGAGTGATTTGATCTATGAAAAAAGTGTCATCGTGTTTCAGGTTGGGATGAGATTTTTTTTGTACCTTGTATGGTTTCTGGCCAAAAGAGTAGGCCTCCCACATGAGCACCCCAAAGCTCCACACATCACTCTTGGATGAGAATTTGAAGTAGTTTATACACTCAGGAGCATACCATTTCACTGGCCACTTTCCATGACCCTTGGCCTGGAGGAGGAGAAGCACAAAATATCAGGTCTGGTCATTTTGCAGCATCAAATCGTAGTTACATCAGATGGTAGGCTATCTCATATTATAATCTACTTCAGACAGTAGTCTGCCTCAAATTGTAGTCTACCTCAGACTGCAATCTACTGAAAATCGTAGTCTGACTCAAACTGTAGTCTATCTCAGACTGCAATCTACCTAAAATCGTAGTCTGACTCAAACTGTAGTCTACCTCAGACTGTAGTCTACATGTAGTCTACTTTATTCAATAAAATAATGACAAATCACTGGAGATAAATAAATTTTTTTTTTTTTCCACTACAAAATGCAAAACTGGCCATGTGAGGCAGGCGACCCTGTCGACAGTTATTGTTCACGAACATGCCAGTAGCTATAATTCTGGAATAAGGGAACATTGGGAAATATAATAATAATATTAGCTGTTTTGATTATTAAAAATTTGCTTTGATGACTTTAGTGTTGGTCACAAAGAGCAGTATGTTGCAATGCATCACAAACTTGTTTGTACTTGTTTATACTATAATGCTGGCTTATATCAATTAAATTTAAAAGAAAATCCTTTTATAAAACCATTTCATCAAGGATTAAATGTTGGAATATTTTTTTAGCCATATTGCCCCACCCTACCATTTCACTGTTATAAACTGCAAAGAAGCCACAGAATATGCACCCATGCATGTGCCATGTGCCTGGATGGGCTTCATGCTTGATCTACAGCAAATATGCTGTATCCATCACTGTGTCAGCAGTTACCTTGTAGTAGTTTTGCTCCTCAGCAACAGCTTTGGAGAGACCAAAGTCGCTGATCTTGGCATAGTGCTGCGTGACCAGAAGTACGTTCCTGGCAGCCAGGTCCCTGTGGACAAAGTTATGCTCCTCCAGGTATTTCATCCCCATAGACACCTGGTGGACCAGCTCTGTGATGTTCTTTATGGATGTTTGCCTGTAGATAATCAATTGTTAGTTTAATTGTAAAAGTGCGATATACATGTATAGACGTGTCATATAAAAGTGTGGATACTTTTTAATTATATTTTAAATGTTTGCTTCACCACCTTCTTAAAATGAACTAAATCTTTGATCGAATACTACATTTTTAATTTTAGCACAGGTCTAATAAATACATGTAGAAAGACCAGCACATTTACACCTACATTACCAATACACTTGAGTTGCACGCAGGGGCAAAAATCCCATTTCATAGTTGGGGGGGACAATAAACAGTAAAATTTTAGAGAATAATCCTAGGGGGGGGGGGGGGACAAGGAAAAAAGTTGTAGCCTGTCTTTTATACAGCATCTTTTACCGCAATTTGACGCTTTAATCTTCTCTCTATCTCTCCAACAGGCAGAGTGAATATCTATACTTATGAGAAATGGCTTAACAACTAAACATTTCCTGCAATTAAACTGGTAAACTGGTTTATAAACAGTGTGCTGAACCGTGCGTAATAGTCGCGCATAATGACCGCTCCTCATCCGTTAGACTGCACGTCTCTCATGTTTGTCTCACTGACAGGTGGAGAGCCTACAGACAGGTACCCATTAGCTACGAGCCGCCACAACCGTGCGTAATAGTCACGCGTAATGACTGTGGTTAGACTGCACGTCTCTCACGTTTGTCTCACTGACAGGTGGAGAGCCTACAGACAGGTAACCATAGCTACGAGCCGCTCTGCCACTGACTGCTCTTGTCCTGTCCTCTCCTTCTTCTTTCTCTCTTGTCCTCTCTATCACTAAACTCTGAGCTTAATCATTAGCTCTTAACTTAGCAGCACTCGTAATTGAGTAGGCTTTTGAACAATGCAGGAGAAATGTTGTAGACAGTTTACATTATCAGCCTGGGCCTGGGGCTTGTTGTAACAGTAAATGGGATGTGTTGTAACTTGTGTAAGTTAAACTGTGTCTGTGTGAGTGAACATCTTACCCTGCGATGCGCGATGTGGGCAGCAGGTTCCAACCACACGCTGCTACTGCTTCCAAGCAGCCCCGCCCGTTGGAAAGAGTGTGGGATATACCACTACTAGGAATGGGAGGGGGGGACTAAATCTTTTAAAATTTAAATAGCACATTATTGCGCGATTATAATGAGCACCGCTTACATTGTGCTTTCAATAAATACTACTGCATTGTTCAAAAATTATTAATTGTGTCTCAAATGATTCTAGGGGGGTACAGCTTTACTGAAGGGGGAGTCATGTCCCCCCCCTGTCCCCCCCGGGAACTGTTGGAGGAGACAGGAGCACCTGTTTTAAACGCAAGTGTGCTCACCAGCTAAGCTACTGTACTTCCAGCAACATTGCTGGATTCGAAACATTGGAGGCTGCTGCCATTTGCAGTTTCTTTGAATTTCAAACTACCACAGCTAAGATTACAAGTTAACAAAGTTTCATTTCAGTTTAATATTTTGGAGGAACACAGTTTGTATGTGCCTGGCCCAGGGCTCAGCCTGTGCATAAATATATGAGTAGGACAGTTTTTTTGAGGACACAATTAAGTCATCAAATTATAATGAAATTAATTATCCAGCGTTTTAAATAATGGCTGTACAAGAAAAAAACTTGGAATTGCTATGTAAATCTCTGCACTGTCAACTCCCTAGCCCTGAGTGAGTCCTGATACATAATGATGAATAATGTCATTCATTATAAGGACAGACATTTGTGTGAACTTTGTCAGAATTAGTGAAATAAATTTATGGCCAAGATTGTGTTTTGTGAGGTCACAGTGACCTTGACCTTGACCTTTGACCTAGCGTGGAGGCATGTCCGCATGTCTGCAGAGGAAATCATGTCCTTGGCCGCTAGGAACAAAAATATACTGCCAAAGGCCACTATTTATGAAAATCTAATTTCAAACAGGTGTGTTTCACTATGTTCCCAGTATTAATATGAAATAAGTAATGCCAGTAGAATACCTGGTTTGAGGGAATGATCAGGATACAGTTGGAGTACATACTTGTTTTTCTGCAGGAACTTGTTAAGCGGTCCCAGCTCGGCCAACTCCATAACCAGCATTAGGCTCTCTGCCTCACAGATACCAATCATCCGCACAATATAAGGATTGTCCAGCTGCTGCATGACATTGGCTTCTCGTAGCATTTCCTCATGTACTGATTGGTTGTTATCATCATTCTTCAGGATTTTGACTGCAACTGGCTTCTCTATCCTAACACATAAGGAAGGTTAGCGTTAGGAGGACTGTGCAACTTGGTTTGCACTGATGCTCACCACAGATACACTTTCCACACATTTTGACTCTAGGCCCATAAGCCACATCTTGTAGACAACTCAAAAAAGAATCAGCAACAGTTAATCAGTGACACAGAACAGGGCTTAGAATGTATTCAGGGTAGACAAGCACACAAACTGAGTCTATACATCTATATTATAAATACAGAGTGTAAAAGCACGATAATAGTTGTGATCCAAATTTAAACAGGTTTATATTTTGGAGTCTATTACAGTATTTAAACTGTGGAGTATTTAGGAAGAGAGAGGTACAATGGATGAAACAGGAAGAGGAATCAGCTCTCAAGATAAAAAAGTTTAGGTACAGTATACTTTTAGCTTGTCCTGTGTAGTTAGTTTGGTTTGTTTTTAAATCAAATGTTCTCTTTGTGAATTAGATAGATAAAAAGCAGACTAAGGAACTGAAAAGGACAAAACTTTCACATTTTACTCAAACTTTTAGGACAAAACATGTCTTTTCCTGTATCTGGGAGCAGATGGAAGTAGTTTGAAAATTCTGCTTAGGGGGTGCCCAGTGTCATTTACTGTGGTGGGTCACATTTAGGTGATGGCTCTGGTATTGAGATCTGAGGGGTTGAAGGTTGGAAGTCTAATGATTTTGAGGGCTGTGCGTGTAGAATAGAATAGAATAGAATAGAATAGAATAGAATAGAATAGAATAGAATAGAATAGAATGGAATAGAACTTTAATCATCCCCGAAGGGAAATTCAGCTGTCCAGCAGTTCATAAAAGACAAAAAACAACAACCACACTTCCCCTCATTAACAACAACAAAGTTGGTATTGAATTAGACATAAAATACAACTAGTTAAAACAAGTGTGTAAATAGAAATTAAATAAAAATAAAACTCCCCATTCCACAGTCCAGTCCAGTTGTGGCTAATGTGATGTGTGTGAGTGTGTGACTGGATTCAGAAGGTGTTAAACAGTCTTATTGCCGTGGGGACGAAGGATCTCCTGAAACGCTCCGTTCTGTAACGCAATGAGATGAGCTGACTGCTGCAGCGACTCCTCTGTTACTCCAGGAGGCTGTGGAGGGTCCATGTCATTGGTCTGACAGCCCATTGGTCCGACATCCCATTAGTCTGATGGTCCGCTGTGCTGAACGGCTCCCGGCGGGTGTATTTCTGCCTTGATGGTGCGCTGCAACTGGCTCTGGGTCAGCTGGGAAAGGCTTGAGGCGAAGCAAGCTCACAGCTTATGTGTTTGTCACTTTCTTTTTCATTTTAACCCACACCATGATCTTTTCCTAACCCTAACCAAGTGGGTTTTGTATCTAACCAGACCTTAACCACAGGTCATCATGATGATTTCGAAACAGACTTCGGAACAATGGGTTTAATATGGTCAGACCAATGGGCTGTCGGACCAATGGGCAGTTCCCACTGTGGAGAGGGTGTCTGCTATTGTCCATTATAGCTTTCAGTTTGTTTAATGTGCCCCTCTCCACCGCTGCAGGAATGGTGCTACAACAGTTACCAGTGGAGCACTTGTGCTTCTCCTGACCATTCCAGAGACACAAATTCCAAGCCTGACATACTGAGGCCTCTCTATCAAGAAGTCTGTTTTCCAGGAGATCAGGAAGTGATCTACTGCCATCCCCTCCAACCGGTCTCTCAGTATGGGGTGCTGGATAGTATTAAATGCACTTGAAAAGTCAAGGAAAATGATCCTCACACAACATCCTGGCTCCTCCAAGTAGGTGTAGGCCTGATGCAGCCTGTAAAGAACCGCATCTTTCACTGCCATGTGCTCCTGATAGGCAAACTGCAGGGGAGAACTGGGGTACTCCTTGTTCTTGTTGAGGAGAAACCATGATGAGAAAATGGGGGGCAGTAGTGTAGCATGGATTGAATTATCCAGTACGAAATGTATACTTTATTTCCATTCTGTCTTTCCTTTTACAGTCTCCTTTACAGTGGCCTCTTTAACTCCGTTTGGACGCCGGCGTCCGTGCTCCCTCCCTCCTCTGTTAAATGGGATCGCACAGGCGCACTACGTCATCAAACCATGTGATGCTTGGTATCACCGGATTCAGAGAGCCCTCGGCTCCGTCATCGTTTTTCTTATATTCCTTATGGTTTTTGCACCAGAGCAGCCTAAATACACGAAGTCCATAATCGTGATGAGTGGTGACAAGCCATGTTTTTCGAGGGGAAAAGTTAAAGGATTACTCGCGATCTCATGCTGAGCCATCCGGGGAATACATAGCTGGTTTATAAAAGGTCAGATCTCACTCCTACCACTATTTTTGGTTGAGATATACCACCTAGAAAGTGGGATCACAACTTTCACGTTTCATATGGCTTTATTTGGTGATATTTTATGGTGTTTCTGTCATAAACAACATCAGCTATCATAATCACACCTGATTACAATAAGGTACGATGTTTGAAGCTGGCTGAGTGTTGATGGATCACTGACAGTACTGTTTTGAAGCAGAGTGAGTGCTCTGTCATTTGGAGCTCTGCCTGGGTCTTTTCATGGAAAAAACACTGTAGAATGGTCATACTTTGAGCAATTTTCTTCAAACTTGAAACAAATGTTCGTTGATAGTGTGCCTACAGCCCCACAGTGCCATTTACCTGCTCAGATGAAGCCACAGACAGTTATTCATCCTGAAAAACATTTTTTATTTTATTTTAGGCAAAATCTTCAACTTTTTACTGAATTCAGAGGACCATTACTATGTCACTGTATCACCTAGAGTGTTTCTAACACTTTCACAAGAAACTTCAGAGAGTTTGCTTTCTGGCAAGACCTCATGCATGCATGTAGTCAGAGCGGTACAGAGGCTACAGTCATTTTAATTTGGGTATGTCATTTTAGGCGTTTTCGCAAAAAAATGGGGGTGGAGTGCAAGAGGTTAAAGGTACAAGCAGAAAAGTTGCTTGAGTTGTCAAGGAAAGGGCAGACTGGAGAGATCTTGTAAAATTTGGCCAATAAGGGCACAAGAAATCTTCCCCATCTATCTACAGTGTGTTAGCTATGTTGTCTTTGGCAGTCTGATGTAGGACAACGCTGAATTTGTCAAGTTTCTTCATGTCAGATGAGATATGGATGTAAAGGGTGCTTAAAGGAAAGGTTCAGAATTTTTAAAGTCTATCAGATGTCTTAAAAATAGTCAGGTACCTATATATGAAAATCTAAACAGGCTTTGTTTTTTGTTTTCTTATTGGCAAAGATTCTCTATAACAAAAAATTATGCATTATAAGCTGCACCAATGGTACGAAATGGTAAACATTTCTGGTCCGTAGTCACCTCTCCTCTGTATATCACCACCTCGTTTGGAAGCAGAGTAGACGTTGTGTGGATGGATGAAATCAGATTCAAAACAATACAACACTATATACAGTACAACTGTAATGTTTGCTCCTTATTTATGTCTGATATCAAACGAGTGTAAGTTCACATCAGTTGTTGTCAGATCTTGCGAGACTATGTTGCTGAAACAGAGACATGTCTTGAACAAAGTTAATTTTCCCCTCATTTATCTGTCTGAAAAAACCCCCCCAAAAAAACGCCATTTCAGTGGACTCAGAGCTGCCACTAGTCTCCTAAAGGGGCGGGGCAGTAGCAAAACCCTATGATACGGATACAGGAAAAGTGGGCCATTTTATCATATTGTTTGTTATTGGCTGTTAAAAGATCCTATATTGCACCTCTCTTTTTGTCTTATTAATTTCTTTATTGAATCATCAGCACCGTTTGTGTGTCTGCGATAGTAACTTCAACCTGAGACTCACAAGTCAGTCTTTAGACACTTTGCTTAACTAAAGACTGATGTCTTTCTCCCTGATTTTGTGTTTAGATGGGGAGATACAATTTCAGAGTTTAAAAAAACTCCCTACGTTGCAGAACCAATAGTAAATCTGCAGGGCGGTCCTTCGGTGGCTCACTGAACTCTTGTGCTTGTAAACATAATCCCACTAGAAACACATGTAGCGGTACAAAATGGCTCAGCCGCGCTCGCAGAAAACGCCGTCAAACTTAGCGGATGTTTGTCGCGTTTGCGGCGACACATTCTCACCAACTAAAAGAAACAAACATACTCTTTTACAAGGCCATGACTCATCCAATCGCCTTGTTGTTTACAAATACTTCCGGGTAGAAAACCAGCAGAGCTTGTTTGTAAAGTCTATAAACACAATGATTGAACAAACATTACTATTTCTGTGTGCACATTTAGCTGGGCTAACCGTTAGCTGTTTGCCCTGTTAGCCGTTAGCGGTGTCTGTAATAGGTAATAACTCATTAAACGGTCCGTGAAAAAAATATCTTTTCCAGCGGATATCTTAGTTACAACATGATTGACCTAGCAAAGCAGTTTTGTGCTGCTATGTGTGGTATTTATTCAGTTTTGGGAAATCACGATGTCTAGAAAGCATCAGAGGCTGCAGCTGACAGGGTCAGCTAACACTAGTAGCAAAGCTAACATCAGGACGTCATCTGTTAAAAGCCTCCCGTTGTCGAATACGACATGAAACTACTCCAGTTAGCTCAATAATGTTGTAACTAAGACATCCGCTGGAAAAAATATTTTCTTCATGGATGAGCACACGTTTGATAAAACGGAGTTAAATCTCTCGGCATCCATTTTCAAGCTCTCCGTGTGTTTGTTTCCTTGTGGACAAGAAAAGGGGGAGCGCACATTTCCGAGAAGGCGTGTCCTTTTCAAAAATGCAAGAGGCGTTACTTTGTTGCCGGCCGTTTTCGCCGGTGTGTTAAACACACTTTAGAAAGGAGTGTCCCCAGACTATCAGAAGGCGGAGATCTCTGATTGTCTGGTGGCGAGACTACTTCAACCTCAACACCTGGTTTGATGCTGATTGAGGTTATCTGCTTGACAATTTCAGATGGGCTGTGCAGATGAATCAGGCGCTTGTGGATCCTCATCTGGAAGCGATCCCAGGTTTTGGATCCTTCACCACAGGGAGTTTTTCTGGTGGTGATGGACACAGTCTTGGTAGGCATGTGGACGGGTCCCTTCACCTTTAGGTCCTTCTCCTTACCCCCACGGATCAAGTCTGCACAGACTTTCCCCAGAGATTTGACACTGTAGCTGGTGAGGGTGATGTGGATGCGGTGAATGGCGTCCTCAGTCTCAACAGGTCCCTTGCCAGTGTCCTTGAAGGCCATTTTGATTATTCCTGACTGACTTATTCAGAAGATATCATCTGTATATTGTCATACTATGATGATGTTGTAATATCAGATAAATCTGGGTTTTGTCTGTTGGAAGCTACAAGAGGTTTAATTAATACAGTGAATACATACGGTGGTAATAGACATCCTAGTTTAGTTCCTTGTTTAAATCCAAGCGAAGACAAAGGGCTCTTGCATTGTGTTAGATGTCTTTGTGCATCTGATGAGCAATGTTATTAAAAACTATGTCAATTTTTTTTTGTCAACAACTTTTTTTCCATGATGAAAATGAGACGATGCAAGGCTGAAACAGATCTTGATGAAATCTAAGTAGAAATCTATGTTTCATTTTTGTTGGTGAGATGAGACGTGATGAAAATGTTTGTGGAGGACTATCAATCATAGAAAGCTGAGAATGGCCGTGCTTGCAATTATCTTCAAATGCAACATGAGCTACAGGCTGGTAAACTCCAGTAAATAGTCAGCTCCAGGATGTTTCGGTAGCCAGCAAAAACCCTCACACCGGAGCAGTGTCAGCCATTGGTGCGAGTTGTGAGCTGTAATTCAGCAGTAAATAATCAGCTGTGTGTGACTGTGGATGGTGGAGCTGCTGAATGGATTTGTGGAGTTTGTTAGTTGCAGCGGTGCCTGATAGCAGTTAGCTCCGTTTGATAGCCACTGAATGCCGGACTTTACATCTGATCCCTGCAGGACCCAACTCAGTCCGGACTTGAGAAGATTTATGGGTTGATGCTGTTTGACAGGCAGGTAGGAGGCTCAGTTACCTGTTAGTGTAGCTGAGCTTTAAGTAAACAGTCTGAACTCAGATCAGTTTTCTCTGACAGAGATGTAAGTTCAGTTTTTATCACCAACTCTGTGAGGACACAAGTTTAAACCTCCAGACTAACATGTTGCAGATTAAGAAAGCTTCTTTACAATGAACCTGCGTACAAATCCTAGTTGTCTCAGATTAGTTATTTGTGGTGTCAAAGTGTTTGAGAGCATAAATAGAGAGATGCTGAGCTTTTCAAATGATGATCAGTGTGCTCGTAAATCACCCCTTAAACCTCAAAAAAATGGCAACCTCAAAAACTGCTGGAGAAATTGACAGTTTGTAATTGTAGAAAAAACTGTCTAAATTTTTATACAACCTGTCACCTTGACTCTAATTTCTAATACTTGACTCTAATTTCTGATACATGAATTAGCCTCATTGGATTAGTTTAAAGGCACTCTCCGTGAGTGAACACTGAGCTGCAGTCGTAATCTTGACCTGAAAGTTGAGTGCAGCCTCCGGCCAGACAGCGAAGCCAATGCTCCCGGACTGTACGCTGACTTGCTCGGCTCGCTGCTGAGGGACTATCAAACTGTCAATCTCCCGGACTCCCGATATTATCTCCGGTGTCTGTATCACTGCTGCATACTGTTGACGCTAGCTAGATAGCAAGCTAGGCTAGCTTGTTAGCCCGGTAGCAAGCCAGCTACTGGGCTAGCCCTGGATGGTTTCTCCTTTCGCCCTGAACTACTTCCACCCGGACTACACTATTTATTTGTCTCTGCATGGATTACTTCACAATCCGGATTCTCCAGTGACCTGTCTTGGTTTCCAGCGGCGTTCTACAGTTCATCATAATCAGCCCGGCTCCGGTACGCACTGAGAGTACCAGTCTTCCGCCTAGCTGATTGAGGACCCACAACAACGGTCAGGTCCCCGACTGCCTGGGTAGGCTGAGGCGCCTGCTCCTAAAGGTGAACACCTTTTCTCAGTGCTTCTGTGCTTTGTGCACGTAACAACATGTATCCTTACAAAAGATTGTCCATGGCCTTCTGGCTTACACTGTCTATCATCTGCCTGCTCACTGCGGATCAGTTCCCCGGAGATGCTGGCAGACATTTGCACAGGCCAGCCATAGTCCTCTATGGTGGTGGCACGCTGGACATCAGACTATTGCCCAGAGATGCTCTCACTTTCTGGATCACAAAAAATACAGGACTTCCTAGTTTGACTGTGTTATACTCTTCACTGTACTCCTTTATGCTTCTGCAGCAATTCATTGACTCTCCCCTTCTATTACATGTTAAATCCTCTATGAAAGAAAATAGCAATACTCCAAAAGTATGCTTTGGCTCTGTTCTCAGGCGCATTTTAATCATTCTCATGCTGTTTGTCTCAGGCAATATACATCCCAACCCAGGCCCAGCTATTGTTAATCATGCTGTCCCTAATTTGTCATTTATGGATTTTTGTGATCGCACGTCTATGGGTTTCTTGCATATTAACATTCGCAGCCTGTTACCCAAACTTGACTTGCTGAAATCATGGGTTCACACTGCTACTCCTGATGTTCTCGCTATTTCTGAATCGTGGCTTAAGAAAAATATTGTCAATTCTGTCATTTCCATACCAGGCTATAATGTATTTCGCCAGGACAGAGCTAGCAAAGGAGGTGGTGTTGCTTTATATGTTAAAGACCATTTGCAATGCACTATTTCTCTGTCAAAGTCCGTTCCTAAGCTATTGGAACTACTAGTGGTAAAGATCAAATTGTCTAATAACTTTTCTCTCTCTGTTGCTGTCTGCTATAGACCACCCTCTGCCCCACTCTGTTCTTTAATTGTTCTTAGTGAACTCCTGGCCCCGCACATCTCCTCCGAGTTCATTCTCCTGGGTGATCTAAACTGGGACATGACTAACCCCCCAGATCTGGTTGCACAACAATTCGATGCCCTAAACCTCTTCCAACTTATATCAGAGCCCACTAGACATAATCTGAAATCTCCTTCATCTGCCACACTGTTAGATGTCATCTTCACGAAAGCTCCGTTTAATTATAAATCTGGTGTCTTTAGTCAAGATCTGAGCGATCATTGTGCTATTGCTTGCATACGCTCTGGTTCCTCTGTTAAACGTCCACCTGTGACTGTTTTCAAACGCTCCCTGAAGAAGTTTGACCCGGATGCCTTTCTCCACGACAATGCTGCTGTGAGCTGGGACAGAATTAACACTTTCTCTACTATGGATGCAGCCTGGTCCTACTTCAAGTCGACCTTTGGCCAGATCATCAATAAACATGCCCCACTCATAAAATTACGGATCAAGGATCGCTGCAGCCCCTGGTTTTCCCGAGATTTGGCTGCATTAATCCGCCAGAAGAACACCTTATGGCGGAAAGCCCGTTCCTCCAAGTCTCCTACTGATTGGCTTGCCTTTCGGCAATGTAGAAACAAATGCACTCAAGCCATCAGAAAAGCCAAAGTCACTCACTTCCTGGACAAATTTGCATCCTGCGGCTCTGACGCCAAGACATTCTGGAAAACAGTCAAATCCATGGAAAATAAGCTCCCCCCCACCCCCCATTTTCCCAGCGCAATGACTTTTGGTGACTCTGTTGTCACTGATAAGTCCCATATGGCCTCACTTCTCAACCAACACTTTGTCAATTCAGCTCACATCTCTTCTGTCAAACCCCCCACTGCTGCTTCATCACATTCACCTACATCTTCCAGCTCTGGGACCTTCTCCTTTAGACCCATCCTGGCCTCGGAAGTCTTAGAGGAGCTCACTAAGCTGGACTCTAACAAGTCGGCGGGCTCCGATGGGCTTGATCCCATGTTTTTAAAAGTTGCTGCTCCCGTCATTGCTGTCCCCATCTCGCGGCTATTCAACATGTCTCTAGAGCTGTCTGTCTTTCCTCCAGACTGGAAATCTGCACTGGTTTTCCTGCTCTTTAAAGGTGGCTCTGGCTCTGATCCCAACTGTTACAGACCTATTTCCATCCTGCCCTGCTTGGCCAAGGTCTTAGAAAAATTGGTTCACAACAGCTCAGTCACTTCATGGCCTCAAACAACATCCTGTCCGACCTGCAGTCTGGGTTCCGGCCAGGCCATGGGTGTACTACAGCCACTCTGAAGGTCCTGGATGACATTATCACTTCCCTGGACTCTAAGCAGATCTGCGTTGCTGCCTTCATTGATCTTACTAAGGCCTTTGATTCTGTCATCCATTCCATCCTCCTGCAGAAGCTTTCCAGCATTTGTCTGTCATCACACTCCTGTAATTGGTTCGCCAGCTACCTAAACAATCGAGTCCAGCAAGTTAAGACTGAAAACATCCTGTCTGACCCTCTCACCATCACTAAAGGGGTGCCTCAAGGCTCTATCCTAGGCCCAACGCTGTTCTCTATCTACATTAATGATGTAGCCAAGAATGCCGGCAACTCCAAGATCCACCTATATGCCGATGACACCATCTTATACTCAGTGGGCCCTTCTCTTCATTCTGCAGCAGCCACACTACAGCATAGTCTCTCTTCTATTGAGCAGCATTTCCACAGCCTTCATCTTCTCCTCAACACTAAGAAAACAAAATGTATCATTTTTGACCGGAAACATGACTCCACCACTGCCCCTAAAATCCTCTGTGCCGACGGCTCTGAACTCGAGTTTGTGACCTGTTACAAATATCTTGGCCTTTGGTTGGACTCGTCCCTCTCCTTCACCACCCACATTAAGCACTTACAGTCAAAAGTTAAAGCTCGTTTGAGCTTTCTATATCGCAACAAGGCCACCTTCACCCGTTCAGCCAGACACACACTTGTCAAAATGTCCATCCTGCCCATATTTGACTTTGGCGACACCATCTACAGGATGGCATCTCACTCTACCCTCAGTAAATTGGACCCTCTCCACCACTCTGCCATCCGTTTTGCCACAGGTGCACATTTCAGTACTCACCACTGTGACTTATACAACCTAGTAGACTGGACATCCCTCCACACCAGACGACTCCGCCATTGGCTTCAGCTCATTTACAAAACCATACTTGGTATGACACCTCCCTACCTCTCCTCCCTCCTGCACCTCTCCCACTCTGCCCTCAATTTAAGGTCCAGTAAACTCATTAAACTCTCCATCCCCAAAGCCCGCACAGTCTTTGGACGCAACACTTTCCGCTTTGCTGCAGCTAATGACTGGAACACCATTCAAAACACCCTCA